CTCAATCAAATCCCAGAAACTTTTCCCCTGCTAGGTGTCTGCCCGATATCCAACGGATCAGCACACTGTCGCAGGGTTGCTCTGATACCACCTGTAACACCCCGGCCCCGCAGGACCCGAGGTAGTTACTCCAGACCAATAGTACTGTCCTCATAAACCACCACAAGCCTTTACCGCGCACTTTGTCCTCACTCATGCGCGCCCTGAGAAACTTCCCAGGGGGTCACCCATCCCAAGACTACTCCCGTGCAAGCACGCTTAACTTTGGAGTTCTTAGGTGATGAGCTCCCTTAAAAGGAGATGCACCTCTGTTGGTATGAGTAGTACTATTAATCCGTTTATATTAAATCTCAAGTGTTACATCCATGAAGGGGTTCGTACAAGGTCAGCAATCCAAAAAGAAGCACTATTCTCATGCTTCATCTCACAAATTGAACCCACGAAAATTGAAGAAGCCCTACTTGACTCTGACTGGATACAAGCAATGCAAGAGGAACTAAATCAGTTTGAGAGAAACAATGTGTGGGAGCTTGTGCCCAGACCCTATCACCAACATGTGATAGGAACCAAATGGGTGTTCAGAAACAAGATGGATGAGGAAGGCGCAATTGTCAAGAACAAGGCAAGACTAGTAGCCAAAGGCTACTGCCAGGAAGAAGGTATAGATTTTGATGAAACCTTTGCTCCTGTTGCTAGACTAGAGGCTATAAGAATATTCTTAGCCTATGCTGCCTATAAGCAATTCACTGTCTATCAATAGGACGTGAAAAGTGCATTCCTAAACGGTCTACTAGAAGAGGAGGTCTATGTGGAACAGCCTCCTGGATTTGAAATCAATAGAGAGAAGGATCTAATCTACAAACTGCATAAAGCTCTTTATGGACTCAAACAAGCCCCAAGAGCATGGTATGACACTCTCTCTGAATATTTAGTGAGTAACGGGTTCACTAAAGGAAAAGTAGACAAGACACTATTCAAAATTGAAGAAGGTCCATACTTGCTGCTTGTTCAAATTTATGTTGATGACATAATCTTTGGAAGTTCAAACCAAACACTATGCAAGAAATTTTCAACTCTCATGCAAAACAAGTTTGAGATGAGCATGATGGGAGAGTTGAACTATTTCTTGGGACTACAAGTAAAGCAGACTCCTCAAGGTATCTTCATCAACCAAGCAAAATATTCAAGAGATCTCATGAAAAAGTTCAAAGTTGAAAACAAGTCCATTGTGAAAATACCCATGAATACATCCCAAGGTCTAAGTCAGGATGAAGAGGGCAAAGATGTTGATCCCACACTTTACAGAGGTCTGATTGGTTCCTTGTTATATCTCACCACAAGTTGGCCAGATATTTCCTACTCAGTTGGTGTGTGTGCAAGGTTTCAATCGAAACCTAAGGAAAGCCATCTTCTAGCTGCCAAGAAGATTCTGAGGTATCTAAAAGGCAATCCTAACTCTGGATTATGGTACCCAACATATGGAGGTTTTGAACTCTATGGTTATTCAGACTCTGACTTTGCCGGATGCAAAATTGATAGAAAAAGCACCTCAGGAACTTGTCAATTAATTGGTGGAAGACTTGTCTCTTGGTTCAGCAAGAAACAAAACTCAATTGCTACTAGCACTGCTGAAGCTGAATACATAGCTGCAGGCAGCTGCTGTGCTCAAATACTATGGATGAAACAGCAATTGAAGGATTATGGAGAAGAAACAAAAGAGATTAGCATACTTTGTGATAACACTAGTGCTATTGCTATCACTCATAATCCTGTCTTTCATTCAAGAACTAAGCACATTGAGATCAGACATCACTTTATCAGAGAGCATGTTGAGAAGAAAACCATCAAGCTTGAGTACATCCCCACGGACAAACAGTTGGCTGACATCTTCACCAAGCCATTGAATGAAGCTAGATTCAACCAACTAATGCAAGAGCTTAGTATGTTAGATGATCTAGATCAAGCGAAGGAATGACCCTGCATATATTCAGGGGGAACCAAATTCCATAATCAAGGGGGAATTCCTAGCCACCTGTTGAGGGGGAACTATCAAGGGTAGCCATCTCAGGCTACTCACAATCCAAAAGGAATGAAGCATCAAGGTCCAAGAAAGTCTATCTCAGACTTTCAAAAGAAAGAAGAAATCAAAATTCAAGGAGTAGGCTCAGCAGGTGACTGATCAAGACAGCAGTTGGGTCAACAGGCAACTGACCAACTAGACCACTGCTACATGTGTAATAAGAGAACTTGAATTAGCACTTTCATAAAGAAGAGTACAAGCTTGGAACAAGGAAGGAACAATGGAGGTAAAGTCACTGGTTCACAAATTCGAACAGATGTCTGCCAGCAGGTGTCTGCCTCAGAAGCAGGCCACTGTCTCAGACCAGCAGTTGGCTCCAATTACAGCAAATATACATGGAATTTCAGCACGTGGCACATATCTTCTTGATCCTCACATATCAAGGATTCTAAAAAGGTAACTTTTCCTCTCATAAACCCT